TAACTGTTCCCACAGTGAGGTTTCTATAGCCATGTTTAGGCACTTAAATAAACCAGCCTGTTTTCCAGACTATGGAACACCTGCCTCTGTGGTTAACTCGGATGTGCTGTGTCAAAGGAAAATTCAGTGACTCGTTTAGTAGCATGAATTACGAAGCATGGCGTTGAGCACCCCGATTTGGCTGGTTAGACCTCAAAGATCCCATTGTCTCCTTTGGCTCCTGTCTGAATCTGTGCTCACTGGTGCATGTGGGTATGTGTAAACCCACAGAGTCGAGTGCTCACAGCCGCGTCCCTTCCTGCCCAGAGATGACCGGGCCCTGCTGAGCACCACTGTTGTCTGTTTGTTCCCATCAGCTAGTGAAACCCCTTCATTCCTGCCTGTCCCTCTCTCTTCTCTTCAAAGATCCCCATCCTTACATATATGAACTATCGGGGGAAAGATTTTGAAGCTCTAATGCCAGAAAAAGACATTCACTTTCTGGGAGAGTGTGTAGGGTTAACCTGATGGCAAACATTGTGCTCATCTGAGCAAAGAGGAGAAAAACGACTTGGTTTTACTTTCCTTCATCTTCAAAAATATTTAATAAAGGAGGGAGAATAAATTCAGGGGGAACTGGTGGGCATCCTGAGCGCAGAAGAAGAGGTGAAATTAATCCTATCAATAATCCATGATGAATGATTCACTCGGCTCTTTTATTCACAGTTGCATATAGTTATCCTTATTCACTTGCAGCATGGTATGCATGGCAATATGTACAGCTCATATGCATACAAATTAGGAAGCGTGGTGAGGGCTCCCGCACAGCAGGGGTTGCTGCTCAGTGAAGCTCTCATGTGGATCCTCTCTGTGACTCTGCAGCTATCTGGGGGTTTCAGGAGGTCTCCGAGCAGATGGGTGCCGAGCCCCAGCTCCTTGCTGCTTGAGCTACATGTATTGCAGCCAGCCCAGCGCTGCTGCTCCGGCAGGGATTGGGAAGGTGTGAGGTCTGTGCAGCCTCTGTCAGAGAGGACACAGAGGGGGAGTTTGGGGAAAAAGTGCTAAAAAGGCTCGCCCCCAAGTCAGCATGCCATGGCATGTGGCTGGAGAAGAGCCACCATGCACGGCAGCTCCAGATGCCACCAAGCTCCCCTGCACTCTGGCTTCTCTCAATTTTGCCACTTTTATACCAGAAGCATTTCACTGGTTCCATCTATGTGGTCCCAGCCTCGTGGCAGCAGCATCCAGTGTCCTTGCAGTGCAATGGGATGAGCAGCCAAACCCCTGTGGTGCTGTGAGAGCAGATAAGCCAGCTCTCTTCAATGCCGGGGGCAAGGCAGGAGGTAGATCACTGCCTCCAAACCAGGTCTCTTGCCTCCAAAACCTGAGGACGATGCTGGAGAGCAGAGTACACAACCCAATTCACTCTGCACTGCAAGAGCAGGGAAGCATACTTCTCCAACAGACACTGCTCCGTCTTGGGGAGCAACGGAGAAGAAGCAGAGCCAGGAGCAGTGCCAGCCTGCAAGATCAATCCTGCAGGGAGGGATGAGAGGAGGCAGCCCAGGAGGAGGCAGCCCCAGTGCAGGCACTGCCTTCTGTCCTCCCTGCAGCACCAGCCTTTCTGCTCAGGGTGCTTCATTTATTGGCTGTCATTGCACCCTCCCTCGTCCTTAAATTCCTGATGGATTGTTTTGTAGCTTCCAGCTCATGGATTGTAAATGGGAAATTTGTCTCCAAAAAATGGTCTCTCATAAAAAAAAAAAAAAAGACAAACTCGTCCCCTGATACCAGGCTCTAGCACAAATGTAACCAGGAAAGGGGTAGTTGATCTTACACATCTCTAAAGCTAAAAGTCAGACCTGCCATAAACTACGTTTTAGATTTACATATCCATGTACATATAGTCTTATAAAGCAGGTGTGGTGAATAAATCAGTGCTCGACAAGTAGCAGGATTTCATACCACAGCTGTTGCAGTTTGCGTACCTAAAGACCTGGCTGTTGAGGTCCCACTGGTGTGACCCCCTTCTTGTTGATCACTTCGGGTTGGATACTTCCCATCAGGCTGCGTGCTTTTATCGTGGGTCCAGGAACTTGGCTGCAGGGAAGTGGTGTGGGATCCAGAGAGCTCCCTGGCCCAGATAATGAATAATGTAAGGAAAGGAGGAGGTGACAACAGTGAGACATACTTCTAAGGAAGGATGAGCACCGCATCAGCTGGTGCTTTCAGTCAGATGAAGACCAGAATTTTCCTAGTGCCTTACCTCTTCTCAGAGGTTTCCTTCTCAAAATGCTTTTGGGATACAAACCACTGAGAAGTCTGAGGCATTCAGCTGCCATAGCTGGACTTTTTCCCTTAGGTCTGGGTACCATCAGCTGCCATGGCCAGGAGCAGTGCTGATTGTGGTGGTAACCTCCCAGCGAGAGCAGAGAAGCTGCTGTTTGGAATAGAAAAGAGAAAGAAGTCCTTCCTCAGCAGAGTGGGAGGGCTGCATGATCTAATGGCAGGTATAACCCTCAAAGAATTCACATTTATTCAGGCTCTCTTTTTAATAAAATCCATCCCACGCAACTGGACGAAGGAGACCATGCTGCATTCAAAGGGAGCATGCTGCGCACACCAAAAAGCATCCCTGTCAACTTGGTTTTATCTCCCTCTTTCTGGCTTACATCTGTGCCTGAAAGCGCAGCCAGTGATCTGAGGCAGCTCCGGAGTTCCTGCTGCAGCAGTGAAGGCAGCGTGTTCCGCTGCACAGCAACTGTGATTCAGTCCCGATGAATCACTTGACGACTTCTTTTCTCAACTAGATCTTTGGCTTTATTATTGTTACAGAAGGAAAAAAGGAGGAAAAAAAAAAAGCCATTGCCTTATCTCCCTCTATAATCCTTTCCAATTTTTCTTTTTAATTAAATTTTTGTAGGCATCCCATTTGTGCTGAATAAACTCTTTGATAATCCTGGAGAGCGATTTGCATGAAAAGGAGTTGTGCTCTAATCTGTCCCAAAGCTATGACATGCTCTGTTCTTAGGGTGCAGAAGCACCCCAAAACAGGAGGGTCTTGCAGTCTGCCTCCTTCATGCACCCTTCCCCACCATCCTTGGCTCTTGATCCTGATCCTCAGGGAGATCCCAGCTCAGAACAACTGTGAAGGGAAGTGAGCTCCGAGGGCTGCAGTCCTGTCTGGAGGAGCTACAGCTGCGTGCTACTGTGAACAGAGAGCAAACCAAACCAGTACTGAGTGAGCAGGAAAGTAGAGGAGCTATAACAAGGAGTTGTCCAGAAAAATAGTACTACAGAGAAGACGAAACCAAATTGTTTCAGGACAAACTTTCAGTTTCAAAATGACCTCTCTCAGCTCCATCCAGCCCAGCCCTGTCCACTCTGGCCTCGGTGGTGCAAGTCTGAGAAGCCAAAAGGTGACAAGGTGTTGCTTCAGGGATTTAATCCCAGTCCTACTTTCCTTAATGTTATTCTTAATCTGCCTTTCAGTTACTATAGTGATGAACAAATGCATGCAACAAACACGACGCCTGGCAGCCTGGGAAGCATGTTTTCTGGCTGTGGCTGAAAATACCGCCAAATTTTCAGAGAAGGCAGTTGAAAGATCTGTCAAAAATCCTCAGATCCTTAAAAAATGTTTCTTATCAAACAAGTTGATAAGAAACTGTTTAATATGCATTTGTTTTTGGAAACTTGACATGTCAGCAAGCAATGTATATTTTACATTGTTGGGCGCTCTGGTTTCTCTGCCTCTGCACACCTTTGAAAATGTCCCATTTCCAGGTGGAAGGACCCAAATACAAGACATGAAACAAATAGCTACAAACAAAATTACTTCTCTGAGCCTTTGTGTGCTCTGGATCACCCTGTCCCAGTACAGTTCTCCTCTGAGAAGCAGCAGCCTTTAGGGTTCCCCATGCCGCCCCTCGGGGCATCTCACAAAGCCCACGAGGCATTGTGTGAGCATGGTGCTCTGCCTGAGCCCGTGCCGTGGATCTCACTCAGCAGCCTCAGCTTCCCAGAGTCAGATCAGCCAACGTTTGTAGCCCCACGACTTGGGTTTCAGTTTGTGAATTACCTGTCTCAGCAGTGGCTGTTGTGCATGTTTCTTAGGGCACAGCACGGAGCCCATGTTGTTACACAGAGGGAAGGGAGGACCGTGGTCTCACGGAGACCCAGAGGCACTGGAGGTGGAGGGAATCCTGCCAGACCCTGGGGATGCAGCCAAAACCGAGTGCTGGCAGGTGGAAAACTACCGCTTCACTTCCAAAAGCAGGTCTGGTCAGAAATCCTCCCTGCAGCTGTCGGCTCACGGCCGCGTGTATACATGAGATGTTTACAGGCAATGTCCAAGTGACTGCGCACTGCAGCTTGAAACCCTTAATGTCCCCAAAACCCGCAAGTTCAGATCCGGGTGTGGGGGCGAGCACACCTGAAGATGGAGCTGCTCAGGTCCTGCTTTTATGCTCAGTCCGTTATTGCAATAGTCACTTTAAAAACCGTGATGATGAGCTGCCTGTGGTGGCCACTTCTGCCAAGACAGAGGGTTTTAGGGTCACAGGGCCGGATTTTCAGCTGCCAATGCTCTCCTGATGCCAACGGAGCTGGGCTGACACCGCAAGTGAAAAACGGGCTCCCAACATCTCCCAGGGCTCTGCTCCGCGCTTTTCTCACCCGGGGGGGACAAACCCCTGAAGCTGGCTTGGAAGTGAAGCTCCTGACGGCCTTTGCCGGGATCGGGGGTGGGGGATTTGGGGTCCCACTCGACCCGGGGGGTGTCCTGCAGCTTGGGAATCCAGGGGGGGGCGAGGCGGCAGCGGGACGGGTGCAACTTTGCGCGCCAGAGTTGGGGTGCGCAGGGGGGAACCGGCGGGGACCGGGGCGGGACAGGGGGAACCGGCGCGGTCCGGGGGGGACCGGGGAGGGTTGAGGGCCAGGTGGGAGACTGGGGGGGCCGGGGGCCGGGCCGGGGCGGGCCGGGGGCCGGGGGCGGGCGCTCCCCGCGGGCGCGGAGCGGGGGGGCGGGGGCAGCGCGCTCTGCGCTGCTGCCGCTCCTCGGCGGGCAGCGCCGCAGCCCCGCGGGCGGCCGACGGTCACCCCCGCGCACCCCGTCAGCACACCTACAGCCCCCGCTGGCACCGGCCCGGGCATCCCCGTCTTGCCCCGCCGCCGCGATGAGGAGGCGCACCGCCTGGGGAGCCGCGCCGTGCGCCCGGCTCCGGCTCGGCGCTGGTAAGGCGGCGGCACGGCCCCGGGGCAGCCCCGGGGAGCTGGGAGCGGGGAGAGAGGGGATCGAGGGTCGGGGAGATCCAGGGGGACGGGGCTGGACGGGGGGCGGACGCCGGCGGGACTCGGACTCGTGGGGTCGGTCCGGAGCTGCCGTCCCTCGTTCTGCTCGGGGCTGGCTCCGTGCGCTGCACCTGTGTGAATGCACCAGCCCGCTTCGGGGGGTGAAGGCGGTGTGCGCCCTGATCCGGTGTGCAGCCACACTCAGTGTGCACCCAGACTTGTGTGTCGTGGCTGTGCCTTTGTATGTGGCATTATGTGGGCATCTGCGGGTGCCCGGAGCGTCGGTGTTGACTTGTGCCGTTGCTTTTGTTGGTGTAGCTGGGGGGGAAGGCTGAGGTGTGTGAGTGCAGACAGCCAGCGAGGTAGGAGCACCCCCCTCGGGGTTCCTACTGGGATTTGTTATCAGAATGCGTGCCACTGCATCTGTTCAACTAGTGATATTCTGCAAACTGCTGGAATTGTCAGCGGTGACCCACAAGAAGGAGAAAACCAGTATTCCAGCTGGGACAGAACAGGAGCCTGATGCCACTGAGAAAGTTACCAGGGAGAGAGACTTGTCGGTCTTTGCAGGAATAGGAAATATTACTTAAGTGATGTTGAAGGAAGATGTTTTCCAGGAGCAGAGCTGTTGGAATTCAGATAGCTCTGTGCTCTGACAGCCACGTCCTGGGGTCCACAGTGCAAAGCTTTCCCTGTCACATCCAGGCTGTCCAGGCTCTGTATCCATTCCAATCCCATGGCACTGAGGCTACGTGTTTCTTTGCTGCTGAACATCAACCTTGCTCAGACTTACTCCAAAGATGAGGGAAGTTAGCAGGTGTCCTATTCATTTCTAAGTGCATTCAGGTACTGGGAAAGGAGCCAATTTGTGGATCTGATGCGAGGAGGGATGGAGCTGTGTCTGAATGAAAAACTTGTGTCATTTCCTCAAACCCCCAAAGCATCTCGCCTAGCTCCAAAACAAACTTCCCCTATGGAAACTTTGTAGAAGGGTGAGTAATTAAAACATTACACAGCTGTAAGTCTCTGCTGCTTTGGGGCATCTAGGAAGGAGATTGGTCCTGGCTGATGGGCTTTAAGCTCCCAGACAGCAGTGGCAGTTGGCCTGGACCGTGCTTTGAAGTGTGTGATGTCATTATGATATCATTTCTTTTTAAAAATCAAATGGTTTTCTTTTAATTGGAATATTGTGCTGTGTTTCTTGGAGGAGAATGGTTTCCTCTGCCCTGTGTTACAGCAGTTGGCTACTTTTGCTTGGGATAGCAAAGGCAAGGTGGACTTTTCTACAAGGTTGCTTGGAGTTTGCTCAGGGGTGATGGATAGCCTGGGACATGGGCAGTCTCCAGGGAGGCAGCACGGGGTTTTGCAGAGCGCTGCGCAGAACAGCTCCGGGGGCAGGCGAGTGGCGAAGGATCTGTGGGCATGCTCCAGGCAGGAGGGAACCCGTCTCCCCATGGGGCTCGCCCCAGGAGGGGGACCCCTTGCAGTGTGCGAGTAGCAGCACCTGCCTTCCAGCCTCTGGAAAGGTCTTCGCTGTTTCCTTTTTCCTCTCCCAGCCCGACCTAAGCACCGTCAATACTGTCCAGTAACTGAATTGAAAAACAAACATATGAGTGAACCTGTTTGTTTGCCTAAATAATAAGTATTTACACACCAAGGTACATTTATTCTATTTCTTTAAACAGTCCCCTGCTGGGGATAGACTTAAATAGTTTAATTTCCCCAGGACTTTGTAAACACAGATTTAAAAGTGGCAGGAGCAGCACGCTGAGTGTGCCTGTCCAAGCTCTCTAGGAAGCCTCCAAAGTTGCATGCACAGCTCCTCTGTGCCAGCTGCGCTCCCACGGGTGCCATTGGTGCTTCGCTGCCGCTGTGGCCTCCCCATGCTCTGGAACCAGCTGGCACATCTCCAGGTTTCCACCTTTGCTCCCCTCTTGCAAGTAGTGCCTATCTCCAGGTAATCTGAGGCAGAACAAAGAACAAGGGTCTAAGTCCTCTGGGTGAGAGCTGCCCGCCTACATCGAGAGGCAGGGGTTGCCAGAGGAAGGCAAGGAGCAATGCCTCCCAGAAACAGAGAGAGGTGGTTCGACAGGGCATAGAGAAGTGCAGGAAGGTCATGGTGAGAAGGATGCTGGAAAGGAGGCAGGAATACCCCACCGCTCCTCTGAGGACCCCTTGGGGCTCTGATGTTTTCTGTGCTCCTCCATCCTCAGCCGGAGACAGCAGGAGGCAGTGCCTGGGGGGATGCAATGACAAGGAGGGGGCCCAGATTCCGGTCCTGTGGTGCTCTAGGGGGGGTGGAAGGAGCTGAGAGCCTTGTGGTGTGGACAGCGGGGTCCTCTGCAGGGGCTGAGCATTCTTCCTGCTATTTCCCTCGCTGTAGGAACAGCAAGGGAAGGTCTGGAGTGTGTGCCAAGGAGGTGGAAGGAGGAAACATATTGCCTTGCACATCAAACTGTCACGCTACACAATATGGAAATCTTTGTTGTGGGTTTGTGTTTGAAACCAAAGCTGGCATTGGTGTGAAAAGTGGGGGGCTGCTGTGCTGTCCTTTCAGCACTTGCTGGTGAATGGGAGTGGAGAATTGGGGTAGGGTGATGGCCCCAGGCCTGGTCCCGTGCCCAGCCTGTGTGAATGGCAGCACTCTCAGTAATTCGTCATGCAGCCCTGCTGATTCACACTGCCATGGGATCTAGCACAAAGCCTGTAGTGCACCTTGTAGAAACACAGAGTTCTGCAGCTAAACATCTTGCCGAGCAGTGTGCCAAGTCAATAGAGCCTTGTGTGTCAGGGCATAACAATCGCTAAGCTCCTGAGGGTTAAAGAAAATCTTCCCTTATGGGAAAACTATTAACTAATTATCCACTTCTGGCTTCCCTAGCCCATTTGCTGAAATAGATGGTGATGAATGCCAAGTGAGAAACCATTCTCTACTCTGATGTGCCAGTCCCTGTGCTTAATTCCTCAGATAGTTTCTCAAAAAATTTCCAAGTCTAAGAAGACCAATACACCAAATTAAATGATAATAACAGTTCTTTGTAAGCCTGGTTGATTGCTCTGGGAATTTGAGTGTTTCCCTCCAAATGCTGTCTGAAAAGATGCTGAGGATCACGGTGGACCCTTTCTACTTGCCCTGCACTGACCCCCAAAATGTTATCCCAGATGGTGACGGCAACTTCTACCTTCAGGTATGTGCTTGGCCTTGTCTATCCTATCATCTGCTTATATAGATATAATCTATATCTGTGCTGATACAGGAGAAGAGAAATCATGGCATCATTCCTCGCCATCAGGAATTGCTTTTGGGGTGGGAGAGCAGGGCAGTCCCTTCAGGTCCCCAGAGAGATGAACATCAGCATAGTTTCTGCTACTGCCTCCTCTGGGGGGGGGAGGGTGGTGGGAGTAAAGCCACAGGAAAGGTAAAACGCACATCCAGCCTAGCTCCAGCTGCAGCTCGAGGCTGCTGCTGTGCGGGCACATGTGGCTGCTGGCATTCAGCTGGGCAGGCTGCTGTTAGCTGGGAAGAACCTCGCTGCCATGCACCTTATGGGGGGGAGGTGGAAAGTGCTTCATGGCTTTCATATTTAATCTCCTTCATGACCCCTGTTCTCCCTGGTGCATTTAGGTGTGGGGCTGCCTTTTTTCTGTAGGTGCTTGTGGTTATCAGCACGGTCTAACCCTCACCTCGGTGAGTGCAGAGCACAGCTTATCGCCCACGGGAGCCTACACGTGGGGGTCAGTAGCTGGGAAAAGGATGTGCTGTCTGCTTGTTCTCTTAGCTAACATGAAACTGAAACCTGGGCTTTCAGAGCAGCTGACTTTAATTTGGTCATGTTGTGTAATTCCATTAGACTTATTATTATTAGAACAAATAATCCAATTTAGGCCCCTCCTCAAGCCCAGTGCATTCGAGCGGCTGTAGACACGTGGCTTACAGCGAGGGATGCAGCCAGCAATGCACAGCTGAAAGCAAATTACTCTGTAAGAAGACAAATAGGACTTCGAAAATTTTATGTGATTAGGGGAGCAATTAGAGAAAATAGTGGCAGGTGTGCTTGCCCAGTGGCTCATGCGCTGCTGGAAGGTGTGATGGTGGAGCTGCTGCTCCCCGGGGCAGGAGTCATTCCCGAGCCCCCTGATCTGGTGTTTTGCAGAGCCGAGGTGGGAGCTTGGGGCCTCCTGCACTGTGCCCTCATCCCCTCCTTCTGGCCCCATTGGTGAAGGTACTTGCACCCACAGCAATGGCTTCAAAGACCCAAAAGAGTCAAAAAAAGTCCAAGACCTCTGCATAGGCTTTGAAAATCAGACCCGTATGGTCCCACTCACACTCATCGCCTCGTTCCCGCTGCCTCCCCTCAAGCTCAGGGCCTGGCTGTTGGTCCCTGGCTGGGCAAGAGCCACGCTCAGCCAAGTATGGGAGGCTGAAATCATGGCTAGTGGCTGCTGCTGCCCTTCATGCTGCAGCAACACCGCTCACAGCCGTGAGCACCAGAGCCACCACTCCGCTTGGACTCAGTGTACCCTGAGTTGCACTGCTGTGAGGCTCTTTATTTTACTTTTTTTTTTTTCCCCTTTTGGTTTGAGACAGTAAAGACAAGTTCTGCTTTTAATATAGTTCCCATGGAGATGAATTTGATGTTGTACGTTACAGGGGGGTAAGGCACAGTTGGATCTCTCCTGGGCCAGCCATTCCCCCCGGGTCCTTGGCACGACGTCCCTCCCAGTGGGAACCTCAGCTGCTTCCCAGCTGGCTTCTGAGCTCCTGGAGGAGCACAGGGTGGGAACTTAACTGAAAGGTAGGTTCCTCAGTGTGCCCATCCAGGTGTCTGGGGAACATTGCCAACTCTCCAGGCTGTTCCCATCTCTGGCACTAAGTTACTGTGTATATATATATATACATATATATATATATATATATATATATATCTGTCTGTATCAGAAGT